GACATCTCAAACAACATCCTAAAACTCAAGTTACAACAATTAAAAGCTGATTCTATCAAAAACCATACATTATGTATCGATATAAAACCTTATGGATCGACTCATCCTGCTTCATCTGTACACTATGAGTCGACACATCCTCCTTATGGATCGACTCATCCTGGCTTTAAATCACAGCATGTATCGACACATACTTCTCACTGGTCAACTCATCCCGAGTCTTGCAACTACCATGCATCGACGCATCCCCTCTTCGTGTCGACTCATCCTGAGTCTTACAACCTTCATGTATCGACACATTCAGTTTGGGGTCGACAGATCCTGCTACAGTCTGCATACTTTCTGCGTTTTCTTCTGTAATTTCACTACGGGAATTCGTATTACAGCCCTACAAACCTTATTATAAACATAATAATTCATCACCTAACATTAACCTATAATACTACATCGATCACACAACATCATAACATCATTATTCATCTATAATTCATCAAATCTTTATCATACATCATCATACATATCCAATTCAAGAGCAAAACAGCAATCACCTCTAACCCCACATATCAAACATCGTGAACCCAATTATAAAGTCAGAACCCCACCCTTACCTTGGATTGAAGGTCGCTCTATAATTTCCGGGTTGAATCTTCGTTCTTGTCGTTTTCCACTTTTTCCAGCAGATTCACGTTCTCTTCCAAATCCTTATTTCTCTCTATTGCTTCTTTCTTCTATTCCTTCTCATAAATAATAAAATAACCTATTATTTCATTATTCCTTGTTTCTTATTGGGCTCAAAACCTACACCCCCTTATTACTTCTACTCTCTCAAAATAAGTCCACATTAAATAATATTACACTTTTAATATTATTTCACCACATAATATTATAATTCCAATTTAATTATAACACATCTTCATAAATATTCCAAAAATAATTTAATTAAATAATTAATTAAATTGCAGGCGTTACATCAGTCGTTAAGACCTAGACTGCTTCCTTGTTGAAGCATTCAATATATACCCGCAAAGATTCATCTCTGCCCTAGATGATTGCTTCAAGCGAAGCCTCCTACTTCGGATGTCGAGAGAGGCGGTGAAGTGCCTTAAAAATATCCTCCCAAGCTGCTTCCAAGAGGTGATGGATTTGTCTGAGAGACTCTTGTACCAAGACATTGCTCCCTTCCTGAGAGTGGTTGGGAACAATCTACATTTGATGGCCCCTCTAACTCCTCGGTAGTCAAGGAGAGAGTCAATGTTCTCTATATGCTCTTCGGGGTCCTTCGCTCCGTCGTAGGTTCCCAACGGAGGTGGCTTCTCCAAGCCAACGAGGAGTGGGGCTTCTGTAATTTCCCTTGATAGGGGGCCACAAGGCTCGTTGTCTTCACTATCTGCGGGGGACGGAGAAGGAGAGAGATGATTTCTAACCCGTCGATCATCACGGTCTCATCGAGGGGAGGGAATCATCTGTTTCTATTTTGGTTCTGGCGAAGGTAATCGAGCGCGGTCGATTTGACGGTCGTCTTTCCTCTTCTTGGATGAAGGGGAGTCTTGATCTTTCGCAGGAGGTATGTGGTTGCGTTTCTTGAAGAAAGAAATGTCACAATTCTTCTTTCTTGGTGGAGGGCCATGCCTAGGTGGCGATATACTGGGGGGGTTTCACCATCGGGTTCTCCGGGGAGGAGACCTTGATCATTTGTTCTCCCAGGCCCTATCCTTTGGTTCTGTTGTAGGATGAGGGCGTTGGTCTGATTGATAGCAGCGAGCAACGCTGCAATGGCCGGGTCGATGCTGAGAGGAATGGGAATTGGTTGCATGATCTTTGGCAGTTCCTTGGTGAGATTCTTGGGGTGTACCTTGTCCAAGAATTGGTTGTCACCGCGCCGAGCGTTAGTTGAATCTGGAGACGCAGTCTGTCCGTCTCGGAAGCCTAAGTTGTCCTCGAGGTGAGGATGTTCCTGACTTCTGTCGGTTTTGTGAGCAGGGGAAAGAATAGCCTTTACGAGCAGATGGAGATCATCATGGCCGACCATAATTAGTGAAAGGAATCTTGAAAAGTTGCTTTGATCTTTGAGTTTCGAGGAAATAAAGATGGGGAGAGCAGTTTCCCAAAGATGGTGCCACTGATCTTACCGGTTGATTAGAACCTGCAGAGTGGCCGGATGATGATCTGTAGTCGGGTTGTAACGTTGAGGAGGAAAAAGGGAGTTGTACCTGCAAGGCACTCTGACGATCAAGTAAGACTGGGAACGAGGAGATACAAGCAAAATGTTAAGGTATTGCTGGTGAATAGTGAATATTCAATTCCTGGCCCTTACAAGTGTAAGGGTATATATAATACCCCTGGAACATGGACATTGGTTCCTGTTTTTACGCCTGGATATACGGGTCCGCAAAATCAGGTAACTTCCAGGACTTGGTTAAACCGGGAAGATATGCCCGTAACTAGCTGTTGGTTCTAAGGAGGAGGCAAGTTACATACATCTCTCTGGTTGGTTCCTGGTTGCCTGCACGACTTGATGTCGGGTAAACTGAGAGGTGCTCGTTGGTCACCTTAGGTCAGTGCCAGCTTGGGAGGGCAAAGGGTTGATATCGCCTGATGGAGAGCGGGCGATTCGGGCCATGGACGTACGGGACGTACAGAAAGAAAGGGCTAGACCGGGCCCGTTCCAGCTGTCGGGCCAGTCCATAACAATATATCTATAAAAACTTAAATCCCGAGCACAAAGCAAAAATCCAGGACAAGAATCGATAAATATTTGTAAAGCAAGTTTTATATAACGCTAAGGGTGACAAATATACATGAGTTCAAAGTAAATACATATACAAACCCAACCAATAGAGAATACACAAAAAAAGAGAAATGAACCACATATATACCAGTTTGTTAGCACCGATCGAAGTGCAATCTACCCCGGATCATCCATGTACAAGCTCCATATTTATTATCTAAGCTAATCCTAACAAAATTGGAGGTTGATGGAGTTGGGAGCAAAAACTTCCCCAAAACCATAACCTAAAAATGAACTGAATTGAAGTTTATAAAACAAAATTCTGCAGACCAAGCTAAGCGCGCTAGCCGCACTAAGCGAACTTCACATAAATTCACTAAACTGCCATAGAGCGTGCTAAGCGGGCTCAGACCATGCTTAGCGTGCTCGCCTATGCCAAAATTTTATCTTCAGCTTCCAGGGCGCGCTAAACACCCACAGACCGCGCTTAGCCCCGTCTGCAACACTTATTTTATTTATTTCTTCCAAAAATGCTTATCCCGAGCCGTGCCTTCAACACCTTATTTCTCGATGCTCCAAATACGCGAAAATACCTACAAAAAGACAATATAACTATCAGACCATACATAAATGAATCATAACTGCAATTATACACTAAGTATACATATTTACACAACAAGCAGGTTTATTCAACCGAAATTAATAATAAAGAGTCGACAAGTGCAACAAAAAGTATATAAAAAATAGTTATAATTTGCACTTATCAATGTTCAACTTCCTTATCTAACCCAAGTCTAGGTCTAACCATTATCCTATGTTGTCATCTATTAACTCTTTTACTTAAGTTAGCATTCATATTCATGATGTAGTTTCTTATCCATTCACACATGATTAAGATTGATTTATCTCTGGAAACTAATATAGTGCTATTAAATGCTTCAAATACATTATTCATAAGTACATCACATTTATGATAGAAAGAAAATGTATGATACACCATACTTTGGTAGGTATCTTTGATAGCCACTGCCAAGCCTTCGCATGAATCTCTTTCAATTCTTTCATCTTAGCATCCCATGCTTGAATGTATGTTGCCTTTTCCCCTCCCATCATCAAATCCCTAATCTGGGTGCCTCCTCCAAACTTCTTTTTGAAATTGGCATATAAATGCCTAAAACATAACATGTGCTCTACCCTCTCAAACATTTCTTATAAACCTCATAAACACCACTATCACTAACCATTCTGTTGTACATGTCTGCATAATTGTTATACCACCATAACCAATATTCTGAATGATCAAGTTAGGTAATCTCTTTCGTAATACATTAGCTTTAAAGAGGCTCCACCTATCATGATCAATATCTATTACTTGTTCATATCCCCTTGTGTAACATACTACATAGTCCCTAACAAAGCTAACCCCCATAATAAAATTCAAACTAAAACTCATCCCTAAAAATTTCAAGAACATACAACGAAAAGAACAAACTCTTATGATTTGAACTGTGAAAAATATAGAACCTGGTTAATTGAAGAATCTTTTGCTTGAATCGTTCGTCTTCCTCAATCGTGTTCTTAAATCGTCTATCAGATTTGAGCGATACCTTATTCTACCCCAATCATGTACCACACTAAATCGTTCCTCATATTCCTCATGATATTGCTTCCCACAAAGCTTCTTATTTTTCCTATTTCAAAACCCTAATTTGTACGGACTAACAATAAAAAAGTATGTGCATTTTTGTGAGAAACAATTGAGACCACGTCATAAAAGAGTGTCAAAAGAGAAAAATAAAAAAATAATTCCACATCATCAACGTTAACCACATCATTTTGTTTAACATAAATATAACATCAAGACTAACTCTACTTTCGCTGTATACCCCCTCCATCCTTTGGAGGTGGAAGAAAGAAAAAGTACTATAAAAATGTTGTATTTATTCTTTTTAAGAAAAAAAGGAAAATCACAAATTAGAGACTCAATCAAAAAAAATAATTAAAAACTAAACTAAAAAACACGACTATTTACATAAACGAAAAGACTATTAAAACCTATTTTATATCAATATTTCATAATCACATTTCTTTGTATTAATCTTGAATTAATATAACTTCAATTTGATTTTCATTATTAACCATGGCTTAATCGATTTTTATAATATGTTATAACATAATATAATACACTATGATAAAGTCTTTATAAATAAAATTTCAAAAAAAATAATAATTAGGTCAGGTTCACCGTGTCGGAACCGAAAAACACAACGATATGGTGAAAGGCGTAATCGGAGAAGAAACCCGATTCCAACCCATCGACGATCGTCTCACCAAATCCGCATCTCCAGCCGAGGCACTTTCTCTCTCTCTATCTCTCTCTCTACAATCTCTCTCCCAACTAACCAACTTCACTGCAGGTAGGTCTACTCATCGGAAAATTCAGCTCCACATTGGATCGTGTTTTCCTCTTCGATTTGATTCCAACTCCTCCCAATGACTCCGGCGATCCCGCTTCTTCCATCACCCAACCCGACAAGAAAACCGCGTCCAAGTCAAAATCTCAAACCCCCGATTCTTCTTCTTTGTTCATTGATAAGGATTGGGTTTCCGAACATGCTCGTCAGGTTCGTTTATCGTCTCTGTTGAATTGTGATGATTGTTATTTTTTGATGTTGTGTTTGCTGAGTTTGATTTCAATTGTGTTGTTATGCAGGTTTCTAGAATGTTGGTTGGGGGTATTAAGGTTGTTGGTGTGTATGTTTGGGTTAGTGATAATGTTTTCAAGAATTCAACCATAATGCTTTGCCAGGTATATACATGTTACCGAATTCTGATTAATTTGGTTGTTAGCGTGTGCATGTTATGTTACTCTCTAGCTATGAAGCAATAATCCAGACCAGAGTAAGTCAATAGCGGCGCTATCTCGCTATAGCGAAGTGGAGGCCAAGTTCTATGAAGGGCCTTAGTGGTGTAGAACACTATAGCTCCCGCAATAGGGTATATAGCGGGGTATAGCCGTTTCTTGCCCACTATCCTTTTCCCCTCTGAAAAACCTGAAATTACCCCTTAAATTTACAATATTTTAAGGGTAATTTTGGATTTTTCAATCAAATTTGAGTTGAGACTCAACCTTAACCTTCGCTCATAGTCGCTTATGCAGTTCAAGAGTAATGTGTGCTTTGATTTATGAATATTTTATGAGTTAAGTTATTTGTTTAATTTTACATTAAAATATATGTTTATATTTTATTGACTTGGAGAAGGCGTATGATAGAGTGCCTAGAGAGATTCTATGGAAAGCTCTAGAGAAGAAATGGGTTAGGGTTGCATATATTCGAGCTATCCAAGATATATATGAAAGCATATCCACTAGTGTTAGGACACAGGGTGGAGAGACAAATGATTTTCCCATCACAATTGGTTTGCATCAAGGGTCAACCCTAAGTCCCTACCTTTTTATCTAATTTTGGATGTACTCACGGAACAAATCCAAGAGATAGCGCCGAGATGCATGCTTTTTGCAGATGATATAGTCCTCCTTGGAGAGTCGGGGGAGGAGTTAAATGAGAGGTTGGAGACTTGGAGAAGAGCTTTAGAAACACATGGTTTTCGCCTAAGTAGAAGTAAGTCAGAGTATATGGAATGTAAGTTCAACAAAAGAAGCAGGGTTTCTAATTTATAGGTGAAAGTAGAAGACCATATTATCCCTCAAGTCACATGGTTTAAATATCTTGGGTCCGTAATACAGAATGGTGGAGAAATAGAAGGGGATGTAAACCATCGTATTCAAGCAGGATGGATGAAATGGAGAAAGGCATCGGATGTTTGATGTGATGCAAAGGTACCGCTCAAGCTAAAGGGAAAGTTTTATCGGACTGCGGTAAGACCTACGATTTTGTACGGGACATAATGTTGGGCGGTTAAGAACCAACACGAGAATAAAGTAGGTGTAGCGGAGATGAGGATGTTGCGGTGGATGTGTGGTAAAACTCGACAGGATAAAATTAGAAATGAAAATATTAGAGAGTGTTGGAGTAGTGCCTATTGTAGAGGAGATGATGGAAAATAGACTTAGGTGGTTTGGGCATATAGAGAGAAGACCTGTAGACTCTATAGTAAGGAGAGTAGACCAGATGGAGAGAAGACAAACAATTCGAGGAAGAGGAAGATCCAAAAAGACTATAAGAGAAGTTATCAAGAAAGATCTCGAAATTAATGAGTTGGATAGAAGTGTTGGAAAGTATTTCATATTCAGAAGTTGTTGTTAGAGTAAAAAACTTATGATGTTGTTGCTCAGAAGTAGTGTTGCTCAGAAGCAGTTGAGCTTATGAGGTTGTTAGTCAGAAGCTGTAAGCTTCCGAGACTGCTTAGTTAGAAGCAGTAGTTTGATATATTCATGAAGTTGTTATTGGTCAGAAGCAGAAGCTTCTGAGGTTATGTCCAGAAGTATGTTCAGCTCAGCTTCTGGGTTCTGAGTTTGTTAGCGTAGCTGTTAAGTTTAGTATTTCCTAGTTTGTATCTTTTAACTTAGTCATTAAGTTTACCTTTTATTGGGCCTACGTGGCAATTTACTTTGTGTATAAATAGACTAGTGGTAGCTGTCATTTGTAACACTAAAAGTAACAACAATCATTGTTCAATCATTCTTTTTGTAAGCTTTATAGCCGTCATTGCAGTAAATATATTCTCTCTTACCTTTCCTTCATTTATTAACCTTGTGCACCAACAAGAAGCATGGTCCTTGATAGAACATTATGGCGAAAGTTGATCCATGTAGCCGATCCCACCTAGTGGGATAAGGCGTAGTTGTTGTTGTTGTAGTTGTTATTGTAATTATTATATGTAATTTGTCCAAAATATGATCAAATAAAGTGTTCATCCCGCTATCCTGCTATCCCATTTTTGGGGTCGTTTGCTCCGTCGCTATCCGGGAATGACTACTCTGATTCAGACATAGTTGTCAACTACAACACTGATATTGACACATAGACACTGATACTAATATAGTTTCAGATGATTAAAGTAATTAAACATAACCCCATGTGTCGGTGTCATACACTAGAGGTGTCTGGTGTCTTAATCCGACGGTGCTACATAGCTCTCTAGGTTCGGTATTTAGTCATTTTTACCTTTTTTCTTTGCAGACTGTGAAGGGAGTTGCTGAAGCAGCACCGCTTTCAGAGGCTAACTGGGGCGAAAGACTGCTTCTTCACATTTGTTATGGCCAGAGAAGGTAACCCAAATTCTTCTATTTTGTTACACTTCCAAATGGGTCATTTAGCTGATAACATTTTTTTTTTGTTTCTGCTGTGATTGGGTGTTTGTTCTGTTCTATTACCATTTGTGCAGGTGGAATTGTAGAAACTGCTCACTATCTTCAAATATTACATCTAGTAGTCTCCGCCCTTGTGAATTTAAACTGGGGAAAGTCTTAAGTTCTTTTCAAACTTTTAGATGCATGCACAACTTTAACCTTAGGTAACAACCTCACAAATTTAGGATATTCTTCTATTTATTGACTAGAATTCAACCTCTCTTAATATTGAGTTTTTTTTTTTATACGGAATTATCTCTCACAAGGTTACCTATATTGCATGATGGTGCATCCAAGTTCCAGACAATGAGTGATGTTCTTCATCATGCAATATCTCTTCATGCCAATGAGCTTGCAGAAGCAAAAGCCCTGATCGATGGTAAATTGGTAAACTATTTCACTTCTCAAGTTTCTTTTCACCTTTTCACTATTGTAATCATTAGTCAGAAGTAAGAAGCAATTTTGTGTTGATTCCTTAGTTGTAACATGTTTACCTCCTATGACATGTGTATTTATTGTGACACACTAGCTTTCTGCCCTGAATATTGCATGCCTGAAAATGGTTTATGTCAGCACAGATTTAGGTTGAACTTCAATTAGAGTAACATTTTGATATTGATCTCTTCTTTTTTCCTTGATGCACATGAAAGCTATATCTTGCAGATTGTGGATATTGATATTGTGTTGAGATTGCACTGCAACTATTGAGGTTGTTAGAATATAAGAAAAGTATCATAAAAATGAATAAAATGTGGATCTGTAAGCGGGTCAGAAAATTATAAGCTCCAGTTATAGACATAATGATGTGCATAGCTCATATCTGACATGATATAATATTAAGAGAGGTTGCTATTATTTGTGGTTTGGGCTGGAATTTCTTTAAAGTATATTATGCTCGTTTGTATAAAAAGAAGTTTAACATACAAATTTTGTTACGAAAGCGTTTTTATTCCACCCACTCTAGGTTTTGTTAATCTTCCTCTGATTTTTGTTTTTCTATCTCTTCTCACACATATGTGCGTTTCTATTGCATTACACTGTACAAGGCATTTCTCTGTTGACATTATTTCATTAAAAATTGTTTATATTTCTACAACTTTAGGTTCTTGATGATGAGCCATGCTCATCGGATGGTGTGCATGAAGTTGAATTGCTAATACCATTTTTGAATAGTAGTTCTATTGAAGGTATATTTTCCTTCAATCTTATATCATATGAATATTCTTGTTATATTAGCTCTTGTTATTTTTCTAGTTGGTTTAGAATTTCATTTTCTAACATTAATTGTGAATATCTTATAAAGCATACAGCAAAAAAGATGTTTCTGGTATTCTTTCTTTTAGTGGCACAGTATGTTCTTTTGCGTACCTGAATTCGAAAGAGCCCATTTCACAAGCTGTGACTGATATAAAGGTGAATAATAATACATGATGAAACTTCTGCTCTTTTATTCAAGGGCTCTCTTAAGTGTAGAATTTGTTTGGAAGTATCTTCCCCAGTGTTATGAAATGGCGGCGCCATGGCCGCTATGGCGGTTATACATGGCGGTTTTTGGGCTTGCCGCAATGGTAAATATCAGCCAATGTTGCGGTTTTTCCCGCCATAATTCGCTATAACGGCGCCGCGAAGTGGCCGGTATGGCGGGATTTTGGCTCTCCGCCATGGACCGCCATCTGCCATCGGCAACACCGATCTTCCCCGAAGTATGGTTATTTGGATCTACAGCCTCTCATGTGTTTATAAAGTTAACTGATAACTTCACCGACTCCCCTTTACCACTTCCTGATCTTTTCTAATATTGTCATGGATCACAATTCTGTGCACAGGGAGATATCATTACGAGCCTGCATAGTAGATTGGATATAATCCGTGATGAGACAGATGTTGATTCAGATAACCATCATGATGTTGGAAGGCAAGTAAGTGATGATGATGTATCAATTGAAAAGCCCGTTTCACAACTTGTGCTTCATTTATTGAGGTAAGTAGTTTGTAGTAGTATCTACAACATACCACTCATTGATATACTCAAGTGTTTTTTGAAAGTAAATCTTTGTGTCCGCGTGCGTAACATCTAGAAGTGATAATCAATTCAATGCATATACGGTAATTGGCACATTTTTGTTATTTTGGCTTCTGAACATTTAATTAAATAATAAATCTATTATTGTTTTTGACAGAAAAGAATGCGGCCTTCCTTTTCCTAGAAGAGTTTTCGCACCATGGTTAGCAGGGACGAATGTGTGTGATTACTTGCAGCCTTCTGAAACTGTTGAGGTTTGGTTTCTATCTGTGTGAATTTTGTTTGCATGTCTGATTTAGTTTTAAAGTCAATTACTTGCGATTTGTTCTTAGGTTTTAAAAGATCACTGTATGGAGTTGTTATCCATGGAAGCTCCAACCGAGGTCTCTACAATTTTGGAACCAGAAAAAGAAGCCATATCTTTCAAAACTAAATCTTTCTGGGATGTAGCAGTGCTGGCTTATTCAGAAACTCACCTCATGGAGGACAAGTTGAAACTCGATGGCAGAGGAGAGAGTTCTAGTAATAAATCGGCGAAGTCAGGTCAAATTAGTGTTGTAGCTGCTGCTCTCATCCTTCTACTATCTGTCTTAGTTGGTTTTGTGTTATTTTTCCTTAAGGGTTGATGGCTTTATCTCTACATAAATTCCCTCATCTCTCCACAACATGAATGCACATTTTCACATAGTTTCGAAAACTGCAGGCTTTGATAATTTTTATACTTTCGAACTTTACAGCAGCAGGTTTGGATTTTGTTTTTGAAGGAATGAGGAAGATCTTGCCCAATCGATTTTCGATACTCTTTCCCTGGTATCAATAGCAGTAACAAAATCATCATGTATTTGTGGATTTATGGAAATTTTAATTTCAATCTTATTGCGATAATAGCAAGATAAATATTAGACTTGAAAAATTATGATATAAATATCATGCCGTAAAATGCTGAAATAAGATGCAATATTTGCTATATGCTCAAAACATGTCTTCCTCTGTTTGTCTTTAAATTACAAAATGGTGTCTTTTAAATTATAAAAATCATGTGTTTCTGTTTTAAATATTTAGAAATTGCTCAATGATGAACTTAAATATAGTTTTTACTGGACATCAAGAGTACAGATATAAATTTAGGGCCTTTTGATGCTCAAGATATGATAAATTTAGGGCCTTTTGATGATGCTCAAGATATGATAATCACAAGATATAATAAAAAGTTGATAAGAATAAGATAGAGATGGGTTTAAATTTATTCTATTTTTTTTCAAAGTTATTTATAAGTACAAACAAATATTGATTGATAAATTTATTCTATTTGTGTTTAATTAAATATAGAAAATAAAATCTTACTCAATTTAGTTTGAGATGATTCTATTTTGTCTTTCTCTGCGTATTCATAGAAAAATTAACTTGTCACCCTCTACATTATACATGGCATCTCTTAAATGGTATGACATCTCTTAAATGGTATGAAAAGATCAAATTGTCCATACTCAAATTATTTATCACAAATTTTAAATTTACGTGACCAATTGGATTTTTCAAAATTTTGGACGATATCGGAAATTTCAAAGGTGATATTGGAAATTTCGTGAACAAGTAAGAATTTACGGCAAATTTGTGAAATTTCCGGTATTTTGTACTGGAAATCTTAAAATATTTGGTATTTTCCTATCGAAAATTTCAAAAATATCCGGTATTTTCATTTACCATTTATACTAAAAATTTTAAAATTTCGGGTACGTCACAAAATATCAGAAATTTTGAAAATTTCGGTAGTTCAATTTTTTTGAAAAATACCAAAAATTTAGAAATTTCTTGTAGTTTATATTTTCTTAATATTTTCTTATTTTGCAGTGAGGACCAGAGGTAGAGATGGTTCTATTGCAGGACGGACTATTGATAGAGCTGATGCTGAAGCCTGAGCTGACGAGGCGCATGTTTCAGAGTTATGGGCTGGACGCCGTCCTCCGATCGGTTCTCACCAAAAACGAATGGTTGAGCAGCAGACGCAGTTTCACGCACTTCGTCGTCGGGGTGTTAGTATCCACTGTTGAGGAGGTACATACTCCTACTGAAGAGGTACAGACTCCTACTGAGGAGGTACAGGCTCCTACTGAGGACATACATGCTCCTGTTCCTATGTGGAGCCGGTAGTTGAGGAGCATATTGTGGAGCCTATGGTGTAGGAGATTGAGCAGAAGGTTGTTGCTGAGCGAATTGATGAGATGTCTCCCACTGATACATACACCACGACTCGTGCGTCTACAGAGCCATCAATACACACTGATGGAGGTTTTCCTAGAGGACCTTCAGACAGGTTCGTGCTGACAGGATTTGCGGACCATGTCGCTTATAGGATATGGCATGGTACATTTTTTACACCAGTTTATAGGGACCAAGCGACGACGGTGTGCATGGTTATGGATGATTTGGAGGTTTTCTGAGATGCAAGTGCTATAGGATTTTGGTAAGACTCGGGGATTTCACCTTCGGATGTCTTGTTTGGGGAGGTTGTATGGAGAGTGTGATCGGTGGATCTGGAACTGACTATTTAACGCTGGTTCGCGAAATGTCGCGGAAGCAAGAGTCGCCACCGTCTTTTATTTTCTCCAAATGGAAAGGACAAAAGCACAGAAAAATTCCTTATAGAGATTGCTCTCGGTTCGGGAGGTAGATTATAGAAAGGGAAAGTGTTAGCACCCTTTCTATCCATGGTTATCCATGGGCTCTTAGATACTTGCTCATTTGTGTTTTCAAAAGGTTTGTTTGCTTTTCAATTGTGGGTTTTAAAAAGTTTCTTTGAAAATTCCAGTTCGACTCTTGTATCGATCCTCAAGAGTGTTTGAAAAATTGCTTTCGAAAGCTTTTTTAAAAGGTGTTGGTGTGAAAAGTATTTTTTTGAATTGTTTTGAAATTAGAGCAAGTATCTAGAGTCGTCTACCTACCCTAAGGAATTCGTCTGTGTAAATGTCCTTTAAAGTAATGCCATCCCACCATTGAGAGGTAGGTAGCACCACCATTGGAGGTGTTCGGGTCAATTCGAGGTTCGGGACATGGTGATCACCAGAGCAATGGGAAGACACCTTAGAAGCTACCCTCATGCCAGGTTCCCGGATCATGAGGACTTACTAAGACATCCTCTACTCGACGATCACCTTTCGAGGCAAGGCAACAGTGAGGCGTACCCTAGGGGTGGTGTGTGATTTGTGTGTCGTTTTCATTTATTTTTGTCTTTTGTCAAAGTGATCTATGCGTTTGTTTTTATTTTATCATTCATTCTTGCATGTCATTATTAATAGTTAAAAATTGCGAGAAATATAAAGTTCCTAAACTATTACAAAGGCGCGGGTCCACATCGCCAAATTAAAATCCAGGACCCGATTTGGCATAAAATAAAGAAATAAAGTAAAGTGCGAAAGATTAAAATGTCCGAGTTTACAAGGCTTTGGGAGAGGTACATTATTAAAAGAAAAAGAAATAAATACACGAATTGAATTAAAACTGGAAACGAGGGCGTTGGACCCTTTTTAATGAAATTAAATTATTATTAAGCAAATTAATTAAATTAAAATAAAAAAGAAAAGATTTTTGAGTTTTTTGTATTTATGACTTTTTATGAGAGAATAAAATTAAGAAATTAATTAACCCTAATTCTAACCATTTTTATTTATTAAGAAAAAATATTAAAATTACTCTAATTTACTAATTAATTAATATGTATGTTTATTTACAAAAATAAATAGTAATTATAATAATAAATAAATGAGAAAAAATTGATTAAGAAAATGATGAAAAATGTTAAAAAACCTAATTCTATATATTTTTATTTATTAAGAAAAGATTGAAATTTAAAACCTAAATTACACTAAATTAATTGTTAGTTATTTATTTACAAAAATAATAATAGTGAAATTAATATTAATAAAATAAATATTTTTTTGATTTTTCTGTATTTTATATTTATTATGAAAATTATTTTATGGAATTAAAAGAAAGCAATTAAAAAACAATTAAAAGAATAAAAAGGAAAAACAAATAAAAATTAAAAATTGAGCAAACCATAGGGGGTGTCTGGCTCAATGGGAGGTTTTTTGAAGTATTGACTCCTGAGTACCGTGGTCTGCATTCTTTGGTCATTGGATTGAGTTTCATGCATAAGTTGTTCTACTTTGGCCATTTGGCTTTTGGCTTTTGGCCATTTGTGTTCTGGCTTCAACGTTCCCTTAATGTCTGGCTTAATGTCTGCCTCGCCATGTATTGGTGTCATGTGTAAAATGTTCTGTTTTGCCCATTTGGCTTCTGGCTTTTTGGCCATTTGGCTTTTGGCCTCAACGTTCCTTAATGAACCTGCATGGGATCCTGTCTAAATCTGCAGTGTTGAACCTCATGAACACATTAAATAAAATCATAAAAATTCAAATAAAACCAACATATGAAGAAATTTAATGTTTAGGCACAATATGGCATGTATGAATGATTATACCCTTTTGATCATGGAGATCAAATCAATCTTACCCTTACTGGAAGATTAGTGACCTGAATGCTTTTATGCCTTACTGGAAGATTAGGATCATGGAGATCAAGCCAGCCTTATCATTACTGAAGAAGTAGTGAGGTATTGGTTTATAACTGTGATGGCTTGCTTGTAGTGAGAGAGAGATTTGTAATAAGGATTTCAAGGTTTTAGGGTTCTTGAAAGAGTTTGATATTCTAACAGTGTTGTGGCAAGGTTTTTTCTCTCTTTTTTCTCTTCTGGTTTGTGTGAAAAGAAGGTGATTATATAATGGAAATTAGGGTAAAGCAAATGGGCTTTGAATGTGCAATTGGGCCTCCAATATTCACTTGAATTCGTCACTTTCCAGGCTAAATCGCAGGGACTTAAGTGCATTTTTTGAAGTTGAAATGTGAAAACAAAATGTAGCCGGCATCGAGAACTAACTCATGTCCGAAAATCGACTCAATCGGATAAACGGTGAATTAGTTATGAATTTTTGAAGTTTCAGCTCAGACAAACTTATTTTGGGCTTCAGTGTCGACTCTGACACGTTCTTCAATAAAAAACTGGTATTGATCGGAGCATAATCCGGTCTCTACTTTTGAAGCAAAGTTGTAGATCTACAAGTCAGGGACCTTGTGTAAAAATATGAGTCCAATCCGATAAAAATTGACCGAGTTATGAATTTTCGAAGTTTCGGCCCAGATGAAATAATATTCAGCATTCAGGATTTTCGGTGTGTCACGCACTCTGAGCAAAAAACGAAGGCCTTTTGAATACCGTTTGAACTCAATACCTTCTGTGAAAATGTAGCCAACTCAATTTGTGAAATTTTGGCGCCAGAACCAGCTCGATACGATGAAAATCGACCAAGTTATGATTTTTTGAACATGACGCAAATAAACTTCTGTCACAAATTTCTGCACGAAAATACTTGATAAATCCACATTTTTGAAGACCTTCTGATCGAAATTGGCTTCCAGCCGTGAGAGATGAAAACGTAGATAATGTCAAGACGGAATTTTGGCCACCGGAACGGGTTCAAAACGGGTCACGATCTTCAAGTTATGAATTTTTTAGCGCGTAAAAACTGCACTTTCAGCACACTTTTTCACTATATCTCTTCAAGAAAACTCACACATTCGGACACCTTCTTTAAAGAATTGACTCTTGAGCCGAACCTGAATTTGAGAATACGTTATCAGAGATATCTTGGCGAAAGAATACCTGAATATGACGCGCCAGGTTGGACTTGTGAATTTTTCTTGAAATGTTTTTTTGAGAAATATGTGAGGGCAAATTTTGGGGTACAACAGTTGCCCCTGTTC